CACTTCCCACTTCAATCTGAAAGTTAGGGCCGGTCCATGTTAGCACTTACACTTAGACTTAAGCCCTCTGCGCGCTACGCCCACTCTACCTTTAGGCCCAGAAACGAGCTGGCAGAGGCAGATAGAGCAGCGAGTGACTGTCCCAACCCCGGCAGCGACTGCCCCGGGTCCCAGCGGCTACAGCCCCGGCTCTGGCAGCGAATGCCCCAGTCCCGGCGCGCTCTCCTCTGTGGAGGTACAGGCTAAAGTTGCTAGCCGCCATTAGCCAGTGTGTGAATCAAAATAAGAGCTGCAGGATTCCACCGCAGCCAATTGCACTCATTTCAGCTTAATGCTTCTTTTCTTGCTTTGCAAAAGGGTGCTGCTGAAGAGAAGACATATTACTCCTTAAAAACTGTTCCTCGAAGGCACTTTGGCTTGAAGTTGAACTCGCCATAAGTCCTAGAGCACACAGCTGTGTTATCCACACATTAGCCTGTAGCAGTAACACGCCGCCACTGGAGAGTTAGGGCGGGACAGAGCGAGCATTTATCACTTGCTTATATTTGCTATCACAGGGTATTCGTGAAGGCCCGGAAGATGTCATGATATGATCCCATAACTCGATGAAATATGATTGGCTAAGACAACTGTAAATATCAAACTCATCCCCACACTGACTTGAAATGCACGGGCCTTCCCTACAGAAAGGCGAAGGCCCTGCAGATGTTTCTTTAGTTCAGTGCCTGCAGGGGGAGTCACTGATTTACCCAGATACCACTGGAAGAAAAATTGTGATTGGTCCATTTCCATTCCATTATATTAACCCTTTGTTTCCCAAGAAATATTAGTTCAAGTTTTTAACAGTGATCTAGAAATTATTACTAGTGTTGTATTTATTACTCACTAAATAAAAATAGTTGAAAAAATATAATAGTAGTACAAAAATTCGTTCAATATTTTTTTTGTATTTCGTATTTTCTTGTATCACCGTGTCACCGTATCACTGTATTGGAAACGATTTGTGTCCAGACACATCATTTCTGTGTCCGCCGTCATCAAAGACTTCCCTATCCACACAGCAACGCAAAACCGCCCGAAACGGAAGTCACATGACTAGACTGGCATTGCAACGTCACAAACACTGCATCCGCAACCAAAATGACTCGAAGAGGTACTAGTGTGGATGGGGCCTAAGTCGCACTAACCAAAAAATGCATAATGAAGAATGAAAAATACATACAAGTCGCACTGGACTATAAGTTGCACTTTTTGGGGGAAATTTATTTTATAAAATCAGAGACCAGGAACCGGCATTTCATGTTGAAAGTCAAGTTCTAGTAATAACAATAGAAGAGAGAACAACAGACTGGTAACGTGACATATGAACAGTTCTTCAGATAAACTATAACATAAACAACAGAACAGAACAAGTTTAACAAACTCTCCATCTCACTCCAAATCACTAAATCCATTCAATTCTTCATCCTTGGTGTCATTTCTGAACAACTCCGTGACCTCTGGAGGTAAACAGAGCGCCTCTTCCTCTTCTGTGTAGCTGTCGTCAGACTCAGAATCAGTTCCAGTTACAATTATTGTGGTCATTCTGAATCCCAATAGGATGGTTTCGTTGTCACTGAAGTCCAGACTTTGTCCATCCATCCAGTGACTTCAGGAAAGTTGCATGGTGCACTCTCCCGGTTGTCATATTTTGCTACTTGCAGTTTGTAATCTGCAAAATATGATAATCTTTTTGGGGGCATTTGTATTCGGTCTTCTCAGTTATCTTTATAAATTAGTTTAAATGTTACATTTTCTGTGGTACAGAAGTAACGGTGTGATCGACTGACATGATACAGACAGGACAGAGGCTCTTTCTGCAGGAGACATGTGCAGTAGAGTGAAGTGACAGTGGTACAGGAGAAACAGGAGCAGCAGATACTCACACACAAGACTAGAACCTCTCACAGCTTCAGTGTGAACATTTTAATATTCAAATCAAACCTGAGTATAAGTTGCAGGAAACACCCAATCATGAAAAAAGCACGACTTATAGACTTAAACATCTGATTCTTCTGATCAATGTTATGTTTTTTCAATGTTGGGTAATATAGGACCTTTAATGCCTACACGTGAACCAAAAACTATTTTTTTCTGCTTCAGCTAATCAGTGGCATTATTAAATCAGGTGCACTAACCTTCCTGGTGAAAAATCTCTAGAGATGTTACATGGTATGGCATTAAACTTATCATGGAGAAAAGCAGACTGTGATGCCACCAAGTCAAGTAATAGGTCAGATCTGTGGAGAGGTGACTGCGTACAGTACACTCTTAAAATTGATGTGTTAAATTTTCAAAAATTAAAAAAAAAATATTGAAAACATCTGTAAAAGATTTTTCAGTTTACACAAGAGCTACATATTCTTGTGCTGACCTATTGTCCAATCACGTTACACTTCCAGTGCTACACATTTTTTGTTAAACTCAACACTCAATCAAATTGCAGTGCAGTTGTTGCCCAAATTCTCTCCAGTAGCATGTGGTCATTTTGACCCACCAAGAAGAAAAGAGCAGTTTGGTGCACTGTAAGAGGTACGATCTCTACAACTTTATTAATATTTCACATTCACATTCATGCTCTTTGCTCTGCTCTCTTCATGTGAATGAACAGTTATTGTATTCATATTGATGTTGGTCTTATCTGATCAACTGTCTCTTGTTAAGATCACTAAACTCATGTCAGTGTTTGTGTGAATAAGTATAGAAATGAAGAACTATAATGAATAACACACAAGTTGAAAGTGTAAGGTAGCTTTCTCAAACTTTACTCACTATGCAAAGTAACAGTGAGAAATGTGCTCAAGAACAGTCGTGATGATAACAGTACATTTGAGAAACAAAGTAGGTGACACATTGTTATCAGTTTTAAAGTGTTTTATGAAGCTGCTCAGTTTGAGCAGAGAGTATGTTGCACTTTGTGTCAGTTTTTGTTGAATGTGAATAGGCCCAGCAATTACAAAAATATGGACAAGGTCCACATGCAGTGGCCAGTGTAGCACACCTCAAAGAAAAACAGCTCGCAGTCAATCAGCATTCTCCTTCAAAACAAATTACAGACTTCAAAAAGTTTTGTTCTGTTTTAAGAACATATTTTTTAACAATGCACAAGTGCCAACATGAAACAGCAACTAATGTAGGAAAAACAATTTATAACTAACAACTAAATTAAACCTGATTAAGGCACTGAGGGAGCAGAGGGCACACAGGAGCAGAGTGGGAATGGGATAGAGATATGTAATGTCATTGCACTTATTATAACTGTTTGTTGATAGATTGCATTGCTTAAACTAAACTATAAACCAGGTCAACACATTTGCAGTCTGACAGTTAATCAGCAAATTCAGATTCTACCATACATACAATTCTGTCCTGTCCTCCAGCTCAGGTTAAAACAAGTGCAATCAGAGAGAGCAACCTGGTCCCCCATGAGACATCGGTGGGGTCAGTTCATCACCGCAGAAGCATCTTATGAGGAGCCCAGCCCATATTTCGTGATCGTTATATCCACAATGCAATGTGTGTATCTGTACAGGCCCATGAATATTTGTGTGATATTAGTCACACATGAGAATGTCTGTGTTTACTAGCATGTCTGAGATTTTGAGACCACTCCCGTTGCTCTTATCCTTTATAATGGCATGACCTTTCAATTGACCCATGTGACCTCAAATGACCTCAGATTGTCACCAAACTTTTTTTGCGGCATCGGGCATGGGGACTTGACCCACGTATCAAATTTGGTGACAATCAGTCCATAAATGGTGAAATTATCACAGGTGGACAGACACACAGACACACACACACAGGGTGAATACAAAACCTGGTCAACCCTTCGGGGACCAGGTAACTACAGTGATTATTCACCAATATCTGTTGTCACACCATCATTTGAATGTGTGATAGCAGCGGGTGTGTGACTATAGCCTATGTTTCCTGTCTAAATCTCTTCATTTGTCTATGACGTGAGTTTCCTATTTAAATATTTTTATGTGGTCAGAACATTACGCTCCTCACCATGTGCCCTTCTCTGTGAAAACAAAAACAAACAAACAGAGAATCAAAATCAAATCAAAAATATACTTTTAGTGCTTTGGCTTCATCGACTGTTTCCAAATGACCTTACACTGAAATATTGTCTCTCTCTCTGTAGCTGCTGCTGTGAGCCTCGTCATTTTGATCTTAAATGTTCATACTAATCTGCTCTACATCATCTTGGTGTTTTTATTTGGCTATTTTGTCTTTAAATAAATTCCTACCCCAAATATGGAACTCTGTTCCAAATTCAACCCTATAACTGCTTGTGAGCTTCATTTGACTCTTGCCAAATGCTCTGGGTGACGTTTATAACAGAGTCCATTTTGTTGTGTCTAGTGTCTGTTTCTGTCTATGTTCATGTGCTGTGTACAAAAACACAGTACATCAACTGTGTGGCACGATGTGTACAAGCAATGTGAAAATACCTCTCAGTTATAGTTACAGTAAATCAAAGAAGTTGCAGGTTGCATATAATGTGTTTAGGACTCTCCTCGAGGACTCGAAATTACATAATTAAATGGTTAATAATGCCGCAGCAGTACAACTCAGAATTCTGGGGGCGCTGGAGGAACTACTTTTATGGACTGTAGATTATTATTACAGTGTGTTTATCCTGTTCTATGGACCCTGAAATGAAGCTTGACTGACTGATTGATGAGTCTGTATGTGAGTCTATGACAATGTAGTTTCCACCTTGGAGATGAAGAACACATCTATCTAAATGTCTGTCTCTCTATGATTGGATTTGTGTCAACTAATCATCCAGCCCTACAACCCAACATCTGCCTCCTGCATCCCCTATGGACCAAAGCACCAAACAGCTAAACAATAGACTACTCACACCTCAAATCATTGTCTGTTTAATCAGTTAAGAGGAATAAAAGTGATACTTCCAATGAGAACATTTTATGAGTATCTTTATCTCTTTATCTCTGTATCCAGGGGTTGATGCTCCATTCCACTTTATAGATGTGGTAACCTGAAGCTCTGAGCGCCTCCACTAGCTACAAAATAAAACCAAGATTAAAAACTATAAGAGAAAAATACTTTTATTTTGAAGGGCAGATTCATTTTACCTTCTGCAGGATCTGGATGTGGAGAGTTGGATTTTCCAGGTTTGGACTGCTCTGAAGAGTCACTTTGACTTTGTTCATCAGTTCTTTATATGCTGAAATAATAATAATAATGTTAATGGCATATAAAGAGACATATTGATACTTTGCAGCTGATGTCATCAACGTTGCCTGGCAGAGTGCTAACTCTAAGCACTGCTCTGTCTAGGTAGGTTAGACTTAAATCTGAACATTTGTTTGAAGTGAGCTGATCTGTGCCGTTAAACAAGTCTTTCACACATAAAACCAGTCAGCAGTTTTTCAGTTAGTCATGCTCACCTTTTTTGTTGGAAATCAAACACCTAAACACACCATAGAGATATATGTAGAACACCCCAAATGTGATGTCACTGCAAAGTATCAATTACAGCATTTTGAAGAGAAAGCATTTGCTTATTAAAATGATGTTGTGTTATAGTAAAATAGTACATTTTGTGCATTAAAGATGACATTGGTCATCATTTACTAACATTGCAGTGAAAAGGGTGAATACATGTGTGTATATTTTTGCATTGCACTTTGAATTACTTTGTGTGTAGTTTGGATTACTTTGTGTACGAATTGTGATATACAAATAAACTTGCCTTGCCTTATGGCATAGGGTGCATAGTATTTATCAACATGTGCACAGAGCTCCGATTCTGCCGTACGCATGAGGGGTAAATGTGGTGGAGACAACCAGCGTCATTTGAACAAAATGCCCCAAATATGAATGTTTCAAGTGGCCTCACCCCAGAATTTACTGTATAATGGTGTGGAACACTAGCCAGGCTGGGGCCACCTAGTGCCTCCGCTCAATTTCATTTCTCTTCAGCAACTAGGTCAGGAATCAGAATACACTAGACGGTTTACAAGAACCCTGGAATTTGTAGACAGCACACCGTCCAATCAGCAAAGAGCTGTGAAGCCATGACATCAAACTCAAGCGCCTGTCTGGGTCCCTTTTGTGGTTCAGCACAACAGTAAACAAAGTGGTCGAGATGGATGTAGACAAAGCCATACATTCTGTGTTGGCAACGATTCCCGAAATCAAGGATTTAAAACCAGAAGAAAGAGAATGTTTGGTGAATTTTATCAAGGGGAAAGACGTTATTGCCCTTCTTCCTACAGGATTTGGGAAAAGCTTAATATACCAGTTAGTCCCATTAGTGGCGCATTACATATGTCACAACCAAATAGCAGCGATTGATCAAATAAAAAACAAAACAAAAAAAACAGCGCCTACCGTCAAGTGAACAAATGTTAATGTTGCGAGGCCAGACGGTTTCCACTGGCCCCGCTAGTCTGTTCAGCCAGTGAAACCGGCTGATCAGGCTAGCGGAATATAGCAAAATGCTGCATTTATCTGATGAGGAAATCATAAAGAATTACACGAGTGGGGGCAGCAGGGGGAGAGAGGCTGTGGGGCGTCTGTCATCTCATTTTTATTTGGAAAGATTTTGTATTATTTGGAGATCATAGACGAGCCTAAATGTTTTAAATGTAAAGCACAGGCTTCCATATAATATCAAATATACTAACTGTAGATTGTGCAGAGTCTAGTCTCAGGTCTGATCTGATTCTCGTCTGGTTCCTGTTTTGTCCAGTTCATTAAATATACTAAGTTCCACATTCCAAGACCAGACTGTGAAAAGTCAAGATTTTCAACAATGATGCTGAACGGTTAGAAAAGTTAATTAAACAATTAAAGTTTTGGACATTTGATTTTTCACAAGTTCAGCCCAAATACTACACATGAAATCAACACAATCTGATCCCTCCAAACATCCTGGATCTTATTCTTTGCTCTTAATTCATTTCATAATGTTTTACAGAAGTATTGGATCAGGACTCGGTATTGGCAGATACTCAAAATCAAAGGAGTCGAACTCGGACTCTGGGGCAAAAAAATGTGATTGGGACATCCCTACTTTGCATAATATGTCTTTCTTGCTTCTTTAAAACATTAATGAATAAGGCCCATGTTTTTAATTGTTGCTGAGATAACTGAAATCAACTCTCTAATGTGGAAGACCTGCAAGACCAAGGCTTCCAAAGCAATATTCTTAAGGTTTATCTGTTAGTACATGCAGAGTGTAGACTACTGGTTTTAAATATATGACAACAGCATAATATTTTGTTTAACCTCAAACAGGAGAAATGTTGTATTGGAAGTTACCTTTGTGGCAGATGAAGGGGTTGAGATTTTCACATACGTCCGTTTTCCACTGATGAGTTGTTTCCTCCTCCGTCACACAGAATTGAGTGCCGTTTCCAGTAGGTTTTCCTCCCTGCCAGTTGTTGACTGTGAGTAAGGACCCATTTGCCCACACCCAGGCCTGTCGGCTGAGTCCAATCCAGGTATTAACAGAAGGTCTGGACTGCACGACTTTATCATATGTTGCAGAGTCCTCAATCATCGCCAGGTCTGTGTAATACTGACGACAGTACGCTAAAGCAGCAGACCATATCCGAAGGGTGGCATCGTATATGTAGGTGACTCCTGATTCAGTGTCTGAAACAAATAAACAGTGCAGACAGAGTAACTTCATAAAGTAGCTCAAAATGAAAGGTTTACTCACTGTTCATACAGACACAGGCCTGTCGGTCAGAACATCTGACATCGCGCCATCCACCAAATGTATGCAACACAACACAAAGTTCAACTGCATTATAGTTATTGGGTTCACTAGTCTGAAATATCTGGTAGCCTGTTCTGCTCGGTTTTCCTGTCGCTGTCCAGATCCATGAGTTACTGGCGTTCCCCATCTGTGTTTTCCAGTTGCTCGTATCATCTGACAGGCCGATCCAAGAGTAGGCACTGCTGAAGGGCTGGGGTTTGGACAACAGCTGGATGTCCTCCATGCTGTCGAAAATGGCGAGTTCTTCATAGTTTTCTCTGCAGTACGTTTGAGCGTCGTGCCATGTTTTCGGAATGTCGATGTAGTAGTACTTCCTCATGGGATACAGCTGACCAGAGCCTGAACATGTAAACATACGTTTTCATTTATGATGCATAGATTTTCAAAAATTCAAAACTGGAACACACCTGGGTTGGGGTGGTTGGTGTAAATAAAACTGAAAAGAGTACACAACATTGTCCATTCTCAACTCTCTTGTGGGTTAATTTATAATCTTCTAAAGTGACTTCTGTCTGTGGATTTATTTTGCCCTATGGTCACTGTCAAGCACAGTTTTCTATATTTATTTTTGTAATATATTCCTGTCTTTACTGATGGTGGGTATTGGTCAAATGGGAAATTTCTTGTATAAAACCTGGAAAAGTCAATGGTTTTGTATAAATCTGCTGGGACACGGCTCAAAACTGGGACTATCCAAGGTTAATGGGAACATTTGGTCACTCACTGCATTGACAGCAATCTATTACGAACACAGCTGCTTTGGGGACTGACGGAAACGAAATCTACAACATTCTAGAATTTGCCAAAACATCAGACATTTTATAACAAAGGACAAGGATCTTACCAAAAAGAAGTAGCAGCAGGAAAACACAACCCATTTTCAGACCTGCAACATCACAGAAATCATGTCACTCATACATGTTATTTAAACTTTGGTACATATAAAGGTGCACTGTGTAACTAGTTTGGTGGAGAGTCTGCCACCTTTTCTCCATGGAGACAAGATATTACTGTTTTGTAATAAAATAAAGCCGCAGTGTAACTTTTGAAATCATGTTGAAAGTAAACCAAACGTATTTACAGATATGTTTTAGCACATTTCTGACTGACATTTTCTTTTTGTAAGTAGCTCAAATAGAGAGCTCATCCTCAGATCTGAAGGTTTTTAAAACATCACTGGTAGAGTGATCAGATCCACTGACCCACAGGTTGGCGGTGCGATACCAGCTCCCACAGATGATTACTGTTTTGGTGCCTTGGGCAAGACATTACCCAGATACTAAATTTAATTAAAACTAGTATTGTAGTTCCATTTACCATTTCAGTATTACTCACAATTAACAGCATGTGTGTAATAGTATAGAAAAGAACTTACTATGACTAATGAACAGATGAAATTTTGTAACTCACCAATACAACTGATAACCTAGTGTCTGCAGTTTGCCCTGTGTCCTTTTTTTTGTCACTGCCTAAATAGAGAAAAATTTTCATATGCAAAGTAAACAAATGAAAGGTGCAGTGTGTAATGGAGGAGCTCAAGGCCTGTGGCTGTAACAGGTTTTTTATTATGCAAAATTGAGCTTTGTGAGCTTTAAGCCACATTAGAATGTTGTTACCTCATCAAAAACATGAGACTGCCATCGACATGCTTTGCCTGAGTGAGATTTAGGCACCATGGGGTTGTAAGATTGGACGCCAGGGCTCTTTCTCAGATGGAAATGCATCTGCAACAACACAGACCTTAATTATTTGAGGTTGAGAGGTTGGACTCCTGTTGGACAAGCTTGGAAGGTTTATAGTTAAGTGAACGCGATGCAGTTTACGGCAAGACCCTAACTATTTCTAAAACCTGTTAAAACACCAGGAATTAGAGAGATTTTGACTGGCAAATTGTACCATTGATATCTGCCCTGTCCTCCACCTCCATGTTAAAGACTTATTTCAACTATTAACAATTATGCTTGATTGGCACCACTGTCAGAAAAGAGTTAATATGCTTTGTTTTTTTGTTTTTTGTGAATATGTGCAGTAATTTGAGATAATGACAATAAACCAGATCAATAAATTTACAATCTGAGAGTTAAACTGCAGATTTCACCACAGAATTCTGACCTGTGATTCATGTGAACTTGAATCAATCTGTAGGAATTCTTGAATACTGAGCTGTTGCCTAACAGGTTGTGTTATCAATGTCATTTTTCACTCCACCAACTGAATGAGCAAAGACTCCAGACTCCAGTGGTTGTGTGCATATTCTCAAAGCTGTTTCCTGTCTAAATCCTTCATTTGTCTAAACTGGGAATAAAACGAGACTACAGACCACCTGGAACATGCATCTCTATGGTGTTTTCATACATAAACACAGGTCTAGTAGGAAAGATTATAGACAGATAGACAGTGCATCTGAAAAAGTTAAATGTGTTCCTTTCCTTATCCTTGAATGAGACATGCGTCATCGTCCGCCATGACAAGTACCATCCAAATTGATCAGTGAAGTTAAGATCCCCCCCCCCCAAACTTTATTCATTTAATCTACACGATTCATGTTAATTTGATGTTTTAGCTTCAAAATGTTGACAGATTTTTATGCCTGTCCAGCCCTGAATAGGATTACAAAAAAGATTTGATCATGAACCTGTTTGAGATGGAACTGAAAGTGAGACCTCTGTCCACCCTGCTCCAAAAGAACTCCTTTAAAACACAAACAAACAGAAAATCAACCACAATTTAAGCTTGCAATAAAACTCAAATACAATAGCCTGTTTTTAGTTTATTCAAGTATGAGTTTAAACCATGTAAATTAGCTCGACATTCTACTAAACACTTAGAAAATACTGCAACTGCAACTTTATTTATAACACACTTTAAAATCTACACAGGTTGACCAAAGTGGTACAGAACATAATTAAAAAAACAAAAAAAACAAAACAATAAACCAACATATGAATAAAAACTGAATCTAATAAAAACAATCTAATAAAATGTCAGTAACTCAAACTGCGTCAAAGGCCAAAGTGAACAAGTGCATTTTAAGAAGAGATTTAAAAACAGACACAGAAGAGGCCTGTCTAATGTACAGAGGCAGCTCATTCCACTGTTTTGGTGCAGCCACCGCAAAGACTCTGCATAATATTATCTAATCTAATATTAGATCACTCATGGGCATATATAATAATTAAAGGTAAAGGAAGTAATTTAGATTAAAATGTTGAGAGGTTAGATAAAAGCCATAAAGCCATATTGCCCTACAAACGCAAAAGAGTCTCCAGAGTGTGAAACTGAGAAAAATGACTTCAAAGTTTCGGTTTTGTCCAGACAAAAGAATAATAGATTTGCCCTTTGACCCTTATTTGTCAGTTCCTGTTCTCTGCCTTTGTATCATGAGCCAAAAATAAGGAGTCGTGCAAAGACAAAAGGCAGAAACTCACATGATCATTATTATTTGCTTGATTTTTTCCCCAGACTTCCATCCATTATAAGAAAAACACCTCACCAAGGTCGAGTCATCATGGTGTTTGTTTGAAATGATCTAGAAGAGTTTTGGATTTCCTGTTTACTGTAGGTGCTGATCAGGATCGTGCGGTGACACTTACACAGTTAAAGCAGCTGAATTTATCTTTAAATAGTTTAATGAATAAAGTTTTATAAATAAAACTGATCTAAATGCTACAGTCATGTAAAAAGTAACTATACTATGAGTAGAAAGTTTCATGTGTAATGTGTACTTTTACTAATTACACATTTGGGAGCATTACTTGCAGTTGAGTACATTTTTAACCTTGCAACTGTACTTCTACACGAAAAGATTTTTTTCCGGTTCTCTTTCCACCACTGATGCTTGGGAACAATAAAGTCAAAGGGCCCGACCTTGCCCCCAATCTTAGTGGCATTGTTAACGAGGGGACGTGTCCAGGACAGACTGTACTTCACTGCTGGTGGCTGGAGTAGGACGATACATGTACATATATGGCGACAGCATCTGAACCAATCTGTGCCCGCTGTAGCATTTAAAAGTACTGCCGTGTGGGTAAAGTCTGTAATCTTTGCCTCATTACAGGCAGCAAAAAGGAGAGTGGGGAAAAGTTATATAAGAGTACAATAAACCAGCTCTGGGGCCCCACAATGCAAGTACACACCAGTAGAGGCACCAGGAATATACAATTTTGGATGTGCCATGACAGAACTGGTTGCGTTTGTGTTCTGAACACTACACGTGCACATGCGCCCCTCTCATGCACGCGCACCGATGTAAACCTGTCCACTCCCACCTGTCACTGCAGTCCACTCCCGCGTCTCTCACCTGAGGTTCAAGTGTCCACTGCTGCTACTGCTGACTGCTCATATTCTCCTCTCACGGGTGTCCACTGCATTTGGTCTCACAGAGGTGGAAGTCTCACAGATTATGGAATACGTTTATTGTCATATAAATGTTTCTGATGTTACCGCTTTGCGCACAGACATGGATTAAACCAGTAACACATTCGGAGGGGGGCTGCACGATTTGCATTTGCCCTGCACAACCAACACACCTGTCAGAGTCTGGCCTCTCCACGGCTCCATGCGCAGTTATCTCTGGTTCTGATGTTCGCCTACTTATTGGGGACTAACTTTATAAACTAAGCAAAGTGCCACAAATATGATAAATGAATAAATGCTGAGTGCTGAGTAGTAGCTCAGTTCTACTCACACATCCCACAGCACTAGTATAAGGAGGGTGAGTAGTTTTGGTGGCATCCCCCTGACCATCACAGGTTGTCCCTATGGCTGGATAACAGAACTTCCGCCCAGAAGACATCTCTGTATTTTCTGTTCAAATGGACTCTTCTTCTGATTCCAGGGCCTACAAAATAGACCTATCTGGACCAGGCCCAGACCTAAACCTGCTCCCAGCCATTGGTCTCTGAAAAGTGACCACTCCAAAGAGTTTCCTCTAGACTTTAGAGAAGCTCCTCCTGAAGGCTTTCTTAATCCAGAGCCCTGGACAGGAATCAGGATCACAGGGGATTTACAAATTGTACAGATTGTACAAAGGTCTCAGAGAATCAGATGTTTTGAAACAGTACTGCCCTGAAAACATCAGAGTGAAACAGCTGTACATACAGTATATAGTGGATTTCATTTATTTCAATTTAAAGTACTTTTAAGACTCCTTCTGAAATATTTCTCCAGCAGCACCCATTGTCTTTAGACCTCAGCAGATCTAAGACTAAACTCATTCTCCAGCAGACCTGATGAGTCTAAATGGGTCTTTTGAGTTCAAAGGAAAACATGAGCTTTTAAAACAGCTTTTACAGAGGTCATTCTTTCACTGTGTTGGAGGGCCCTTCAGGCCATGGATACATTATTTTTAGTCAATAGTTTGATAGTGGACAAAGCTAGAATAGTCCACACATTGTAAATATGGGCATATGTTGCGTGCTGCATGTGTATTCTGCTGATTCACTATAGACCTGCCCACATATCTGTGGTCACATGACTCCACGTGGAACAGGTCCGACAGGTGGAACAGGAACAGGAACTGAAAATATCTGGATACGACGCTGACAAAGTAAGTATCTGATTTTATTATACAAGAATTAAAACATAAATTTGGGTTTAGTAACTTCTTGGTAATTATGGACATTTCTGGCAATCATTTAACATTTTTAAAATATATATTCTTAAAAAAGATGCCCTATGTGACTTTTTAGGAGGAGGATACTCAAACTGCTCCCCAGAGATAATATTGTTTTGTCTAGAATGTTCCAAAATATGGCCACATACTTATACTCATACATATTATTCATCTGTTCAGTTACAGGTGTTTTTATTGCTGAAAAAACATGCAGCTGTACTGTTGGACTGTGGGCGGGGTCACCTCTCCATAAATCTGACTTGTGACTCGGCCTGGTGATGTCACCTGTTTTTCTTCATGAAAACAAATACATTTAATGCCATATTGAGGAATATTCCAGACAAAGCAATAATAACTCCATCGAGGAAAGTAGGCAAAGTTTCCATCACCAGAAAAGTTAGATAGTGCACCTTTAAATATTTTCTTAGAATTCGTTTAGTCTTTGCTTATTTCTGTTTGTAATGTGTGTGTGTTACTCCTGGTTTAATGCTGATCTCAACCATAAAACCGGAAAACCCAGTTCAGTGTAATGTAAGTATGTGACCAGCAGGGGGAGACACAGACTGATCAGACCTCTGGGTGCAGCAGGAGACAGCTCTGTATGTTCTGTTCAAATAGACTCTTCTTCTGATTCCAGCACTTACAACATGGACCCACCTGGACCTGGCCCCGGGTGTAAACCCAGACCTGAACCTGCTCCCAGCTCTCTGTCTCTGAAAAGTGATGAGTCCAGACACCTTCCTCCTGTATTTAAAGAAGCTCCTCCTGAGGACCAGAGGTGAGTCATTTGAACAGCTCTTTTCACACTGATAAACAGAGACCAAACTGAGTAGGGCTGTTACTGTGTGACTGCCTCCTCATATTATTCACTCTTGATGTTTTTTCCATTTATCTGTACAAATATAAAGTTCTGAAAATTGATGATTGAATGAAAATGAAATATTACAATTTATCAAATCAAGACTCAATTTTTTGCAAACTGTCCAAATGTCTAGATTCCAAAGCATGTTGTTTGGAGCAGAATTCAGACTTTGGAAGAAGAAATATATTTTTTTGTGTTGGTTGCTACAAATTAATTATATGACTTGTTTTTGTTCAGGAAATTACTGTGGACGAAAAAAAAAAAAAAAAAAAAAAAAAAATCACAACCATTCCATCACATAACACATCCTCCTTAAACAGACATAATGCATGAAGGAGCAGTCAGTTCTCAAGTGAACTTTTACATTTAGTTCAGTAGAGATTAGCAATTCCAGGGCTGAAATCATCCAAATGATTCTATTGGAGGTGTTTGGAGTTTAAAAACACAATGGAGCACTTCCTGTATTACCACATGACATCACAAGGTGGAACAGAGTGTTTTCTGTTTGAGAGAAGAACTCTCAAACAAGGTTTGTGTGTTAAACATGTGTGAATGAAACAAAACACATCTCCAGGTCTGTGATGAGGAAACATTATAACATATTATAACTATGGGTGTCAAATTATCGCGTAAATTGCGATTAATTAATTACAGTCATATTTAGTGCGTTATGTTTTTTAATCGCGTTAATCTCATTTTTAATCTCTAACTTTAGTGTTTCTGAATGCGAGTTGCTTTATTATAAAACCGGTTTTTATGTGTAACAACACACACACACAAAAAAACACATTTATACATTTTTTTATTTCGGTAATTCCACTCATTGCCGGAAACCCACACAAAACGCGCGCAGTAGGAGCGATGTAAACGTCATGTTCACGTTGGCGGCGTCAGGCACAATGGACGAGGTCGTAGAGCCAGTAGAACAGTCAGCAGTGCACAGGTAAAAACACATTCGTGTCTTGGAAATTATTCTCCCGACGTGAAATATAAAAGAAAATAACATATAAAAGCGCCTACAACTTAAATGTCACTGGTGTAAACAGCCTGCATAGGCTCATGATGTCTGCACCACTGTCCTATAGTGACCTGCCACATGAGGGGACACGCACACACACACACAAACACACACAAACAAACACACACCTTCATCATTGTCATCGACCTGAGAACGTGCGGACCACGTTTCCTTCCGTAGTTACTGCGCGGACACCGCTGTCCTCCCGTGCACCGCGTGTAGATCGTGTTTTCTCGCGTACGCTGCGTAAACCGCGCTTCCTCCTGTGAGTCTCTAAACCAGAACTAACACCAAGACTAAAACCAGGACTTATCCAGTCCAGGACTAAACCAGGACTAAACCAGGTCTAAACCAGGACTAAACCAGAACTAAAACCAGAACTAATACCAGAACTAAAACCAGAACTAAAACCAGGTCTAAACCAGGACTAAACCAGGACCAAACCAGAACTAACACCAGGACTAAAACCAGGATTAATCCATTCCAGGACTAAACTAGGACTAAAACCAGTGATCTCATATATAAAGCATTTCTCTATCAATAATATTTTTAATATGGTTAAGGAAAGACTGGCCTTTTTATTGTCTTTAAGTAGACAAAAGTTATTATGTTCAGATTTCCTCGTCTTTGCTACTTTACAGCAAACAGTTTCTTATTCATGGAGACTTAGGCTCAACAGCCAATTTGGAGAGATTTGTTAAACAATAAATGACTTTATAAAGTCACTTTTTTTGTTCTATATCAGTCTTTTGATCTGCCACAATAATGTAATAATGAATTTAAATGAAAATACCTCAAATTGAAGGCTTTTCTCAGCAATTTTTAGGTGAGATTAAAATGAGATTAATTAGATTCATTAATTACAGATCATAATTAATTAATCTCTCAATTTTTTTAATCGCATGACAGCACTAATTATAACACAGATCAGACAGCAGAGTATGGACCCTTTAACCAGCTCGAGTTGGACCTGCAACGTCAAAGTGCACTGGAGTAATGTGACATATTGTGGAACATCGGTATGTTTAATTACAGTCCCTGACAAAAGTCTTGTCGCTTATCTGTTTTGTAGAAACAAAAGCTTACAACCTGACTTTAAATTAATCGATTGGTTTTAGAAATGTCTCATATGAAAGCTAAAACCCTCCCAAATTATGCTCAATATACTAAAATAAATTTGCTTCACTGAAGAAAGATTGATCATTTAATGAACACAGAAAGGTCAGATTTTGGCAAGACAAAAGTTTTGTCTCCTACAGAAAATTGAATAATTTACTTTTTTTTTTTTTTTACAAATACAAAAATATGTTTCATAATGTCACTGAATGAAGTAGTGGTGCTGTGAGATCCATATTTAATATCTTGTATGACTTCCATGAGCTTGAAGGACGCATCCATGCGGTTCCACAATGATTCATACAATTTGTTGATGAAGTCATCAGGAATAGCAAAGAAAGCGTCTTACATGTCTCCCAGAGTTCATCAAGATTCTTTGGGTTTGCCTTCCATGTTTCCTCTTTCATTCTACCCCAGACATGCTCGATGATGTTCATGTCTGGTGACTGGGCTGGCCAGTCCTGGAGCACCTTGATCTTCTTCACCTTGAGAAACTTTGATGTAGAGATAGAAGTATGCGATGGAGCACCATCCTGCTGCAAAGTTTGACCCCTTTTATGGTTGGGAATGTAAGAGGAGCTAATACTTCTTGATATTTTAGGTTACTGATGTTGCCTTCCACCCTGCAAATGTCTCGCACACCCCCAGACTGGATGTAACCCCAGACCATGATTTTTTTCTGCCACCAAAGTTAACTGTTTTCTGGGTGAATCTTGGATCCATGCGGCTCCAGTAGGTCTCCTGCAATATTTGCGGCAGCTGTGATGTAATTCAACCGAGGATTCATCTGAGAAATCCACCTTCTGCCACTTTTCCAGTGTCCATCCTTTTAGCAGGCTGTGGGCCTTGGCAAATGCCACACGGTTTTTTAATTGCCTTTTGTTTAGTGCTGGTTTCTGTGCACTGATTCGACCATGGAGGCCATTTCGAGACAGAATTCTACAGACTGTTGTGGTTGACACAGGGACTTGAGGTGACCAGGCCTGGTGGAGTCTGCTGCAGTGGAAAAGGGACTGGCCTTGGATTTTTGAATTAACAAACCGTCCTCCTGAGCAGTTGTCTTGCGGGGTCTGCCGGACCTGGACTTGTCAAAAACATCTCCAGTCATTTCAGATCTTTTTCTTATTCTTTGTACCTGTCGCTGAGACACATTGAAGGTGTTAGGGTTACCTCAGCAGTGGATCTGGTCTTCAGCCTCTTGATAATTAACACTTTGGTCTCAGGGTGGATCTTAGGCATGTTGTCAGAGGTCAAGTTGCAGTTGATGTGAAGGTCTGGTGTGCTGGGGTTCTTTTTATACACACCCACTAACTGATTGATCAGTAACTGATCACAGGTGAGGCTGTAATCTAGGATTGGGTGCATCATATGACAAGGCGACAAAACTTTTGTCTTGCCAAAATCTGACCTTTCTGTGTTCATTAAATGATCAATCTTTCTTCAGTGAAGCAAATTTATTTTAGTATATTGAGCATAATTTGGGAGGGTTTTAGCTTTCATATGAGACATTTCTAAAACCAATCGATTAATTTAAAGTCAGGTTGTAAGCTTTTGTTTCTACAAAATGGATAAGCGACAAGACTTTTGTCAGGGACTGTATGTTATAAGACCCCCTTAATTTTGGTTGGTAACGATAGGTCTCTGCTTGAACAATATAACCTTGTACTACTACTAGTGCTCTGGAACATATGAGATATCTTAGTCCTAGATTGTCCTTGACCATCAGAGCTTGTACCTACAGCTGTGAAACTCCACATCTGGAGAACAGAGCTTCTACACAGGAGACATCTCTGTATGTTCTGTTCAAATAGACTCTTCTGATTTCAGCACTTACAACATGGACCCAACTGCACCTGGCCCCAGGTCTAAACCCAGACCTGAACCTGCTCCCAGCTCTCTGTCTCTGAAAAGTGATGAGTCCAGAAACCTTCCTCCTGTATTTAAAGAAGCTCCTCCTGGTGACGAGAGGTGATTTGAACAGCCCTTTTCACACTGATAAACAGAAACCAAACTGAGCAGAGCTGTTACTGTCTGACTGCCTCCTCATGTTATTCACTCTTTATGTTCTGTCATTTATCTGTTTATGTTCTGTCATTTATCTAACGAAGACTGACCGGTAAATCGAGAGCTTCGCCTTTCGGCTCAGCTCCCTCTTCACCACAACGGTCCGATACAGCGACCGCATCACTGCCGAAGCTGCACCGATCCGCCTGTCAATCTCACGTTCCGTCCTTCCCTCACTCGTGAACAAGACCCCGAGATACTTGAACTCCTCCACTTGAGGCAAAGACTCCCCACCCACCCGGAGAGGGCAAGCCACCTTTTTCCGGTCGAGAACCATGGCCTCAGACTTAGAAGAACTGATCTTCATCCCAGCCGCTTCACACTCGGCTGCAAACCGCCCCAGTGCACATTGCAGGTCCTGGTTCGATGAAGCCAACAGGACAACATCATCTGCAAACAGCAGAGATGAGATCCTGTGGTCCCCAAACCGGACCCCCTCCGGCCCCTGACTGCGCCTAGAAATTCTGTCCATAAACACAATGAACAGAACCGGTGACAAAGGGCAGCCTTGGCGGAGTCCAACATGCACCGGAAACAGGTCTGACTTACTGCCGGCAATGCGAACACAGCTCCTGCTCCGGTCATACAGGGACCGGACAGCCCTTAGCAAAGGGCCCCGGACCCCATACTCCCAGAGCACCCCCCACAGGACACCACGAGGGACACGGTCGAATGCCTTCTCCAAGTCCACAAAGCACATGTGGACTGGTTGGGCAAACTCCCATGAACCCTCGAGCACCCGATGGAGAGTGTAGAGCTGGTCCAGTGTTCCACGGCCAGGACGAAAACCACACTGCTCTTCCTGGATCTGAGGTTCGACTATCGGCCGGATTCTCCTCTCCAGTACCCTGGCATAGACCTTACCGGAAAGGCTGAGGAGTGTGATCCCCCTATAGTTGGAGCACACCCTCCGGTCCCCCTTCTTATACAGAGGGACCACCACCCCGGTTTGCCAGTCCAGAGGTACTGTCCCCAACCGCCACGCGATGTTGAAGAGGCGTGTCAGCCAAGACAGCCCCACAACATCCAGAGACATAAGGCACTCAGGACGGATTTCATCCAACCCCGGAGCCTTTCCACCAAGGAGCTTTCCAACCACCTCAGTGACTTCAGCCAGGGTGATGGATGAGTCCGCCTCCGAGTCCCCAGCCTCGGCCTCCTCCTTGGAAGACGTGACAGTGGGATTGAGGAGATCCTCAAAGTATTCCTTCCACCGCCGGACAACGTCCCCAGTCGAGGTCAGCAGCTCTCCCCCCGCACTGGCGAAGAACTGCTTCCCCCTCCTGAGGTGCCGGACGGTTTGCCAGAATCTCTTTGAGGTCGTCCGATAGTCCTCCTCCATGGCCTCCCCGAACTCCTCCCAGCTCCGAGTTTTTGCCTCTGCAACCGCACGGGCTGCAGCACGCTTGGCCCGCCGGTACCCGTCAGCTGCTTCAGGAGTCCCCCGAGCCAGCAAGGCCCGACAGGACTCCTTCTTCAGCTTGACGGCATCCCTTACTTCTGGTGTCCACCACCGGGTTCGAGGATTGCCGCCGCGACAGGCACCACAGACCTTACGCCCACAGCTCCGAGCAGCCGCATCGACAATAGAGGCCGAGAATGAAGCCCACTCGAACTCCATATCTCCAGCCTCCCCCGGAATCCGTGAGAAGTCCTCCCGGAGGTGCGAGTTGAAAGTCCCTCTGAGTATCAGTTGACAGCTCAGCCCCTCTCTTCACCCGAGTGTCCAAGACACGCGGCCGTAGATCAGATGACACGACTACAAAGTCGATCATCGACCTCCTGTCTAGGGTGTCCTGGTGCCACGTGCACTTATGGACACCCTTGTGCTCGAACATGGTGTTCGCTATGGACAAACCGTGACTAGCACGGAAGTCCAATTACACAACACCGCTCGGGTTCAGATCAGGGAGGCCGTTCCTCCCAATCACCCCTCTCCAAGTGTCACTGTCGTTGCCCACGTGGGCGTTGAAGTCCCCCAGGAGAACAACAGAGTCCCCGGTTGGTGCACTGTCTAGTACCCCTCCCAAGGACTCCAAGAAGGTCGGGTACTCAACACTGCTGTTCGGCCTGTAGGCCGACACCACAGTGAGAGACCTGTCCCTGACCCGAAGGCGCAGGGACGCGACCCTCTCGTTCACCGGGGTGAACTCCAATACACAGCGGCTGAGCTGTGAGGCAATGAGCAGGCCCACACCAGCCCGCCGCCGCTCCCCGCGGCCAACGCCAGAGAAATGGAGAGTCCAGCCCCTCTCAAGGAATTGGGTTCCAGAGCCCAAACTGTGCGTGGAGGTGAGGCCGACTATATCTAGTCGGTAACGCTCAACCTCCCGCACAAGCTCAGGCTCCTTCCCCCCAGCGAGGTGACATTCCATGTCCCCAGAGCTAGTCTCCACGTCCGGAGATCCGGTCGTCGAGGCCCCCGCCGTCGACTGCCACCCAGATCTCTCTGCACCGGCCCCATATGGCTCCTCTTGTGGGTGGTGGGCCCACGTGAGGACGGCCCCACATCGCTCCTTCGGGCTAAGCCCAGCCAGGCCAAATGGGGGAAGGCCCGACCATCAGGTGCTCACTGACGAGCACCCACCCCAGGCCTGGCTCCAGGGTGAGGCCCCGGTGACGCCAATCTGGGCGACGTAACTGGCCTCTGTATGTGACTCATCATGTGGGGGTTCTGAACCGTTCTTCGTCTGACCCGTCCCCCAGGACCTGTTTGCCTTGGGTGACCCTACCCAGGGGCATGAAGCCCCTGACAACATAGCTCCCGGGATCATTCGGGCACTCAAACCCCTCCACCACGATAAGGTGACGGTTCAAGGAGGGGTAACTGCATGAATGTGAGGTAGAAAACAATTAGGTGATGGACCTTCTTCCAAAGTTACATAATGCACCTTTAAGCCTCAGTCAGTTCAGTGACTTTTGGGAATTAAAGTGCATTTGACTGGTTTTCATGTTTTTCTAATACTGATTTGGTTTGGTCTTTATGTTGTTTCCATTTAGCATTGAATGATAATGAAAATGACAGTTCATCACATCAAGATCCAATTTATTGCAAATTGTCCAAATGTCTAAATGTCTATATTCTAAAACATGTCGTTTTGGCTCGTCATCAATCTCAGCATGCAACTCCAAGACCAGTCCCACTATAAACCAGTGTGCACATACAGTACAGAACAATGAGTCAAATAAAATAGTGGAAAATAGTGGTTTCTAAATAAAATGAGATCTCATAAAATGTTTTAAATCATACTGTAGTTTTACATTTACATTTGCTTCAATGAATTCAAAATGAAATGCTATACAGCATTACAGAAAATAGGCTGAAGTATGTCTGTCGTTTGTTTTGGCCTCAAGATGGATTCTCGTGAATTTGAGAAGTCACAAATATCACAAGAATCCATTTTGCTGTTCAAGGTTATTCTCCATCAGACCTGATGAGTCTAAATGCGTCCAAAGGTGTCTGCTCAGAGCTGTGGGACTCTCCTGTTCACTGTCTCTGTGTGAGAACCTCCTGTACACTCTTGTATAGAGCCAATTTGTATTTGTATACTCTTGTATACAAATATTAGAAGGCCACACGGCAAAAGCTCAAAGTATCTTTTATTGATGCCCTCAGAATGCTGCTGAAAAAGCACAGAGCCAGTAGTGCCAGTCTCCTGTTCTGTCAAACTCATGTGAACACTTATCAGGCTCTCATGACAAAACTGATGTGTAACTCCATCTGTAGCCTAAATGACTCTCTAAACTCTGTGGGGGCGATGCTGGTGAGTCCCAGGTTTAGTGCTGTGCAGTAACACTGCTCTTTATGGAAACACTGAGCTGCTTTTATAACCCTGTTTCCTCTTGTCTCCTGCCTTATGTTCTTTTATGGACCACGAATCTGCTATAAATAAATGATGATGAGTTTATTGTTTGACAGCGAGCCAGGCCCAAAGGAGCAGCTGGACACCATATTCAGGGTGAGTACCCCACGAGTGCAGCATGTGTGGGGTTGTCTGGGTGCTCCTTAGGTACTTTCTTTGACTAAAACTCTTCTCTTATTGTTCTGTTCCAGCGTCTAGAGGAGGATGTCCTGACTTTCGTCAAAGCACAACTGCAGAGGCTTCACAGGGTCCTGGCCTCAGATTACCCAGAATGCTCTGAGAGTGAGGAAGAGGAGGAGCAGAGCAGCAGAGAGGTTCTGAACATCACCCTGGACTTCCTGAGGAAGATGGACCAGGAGCAGCTGGCCCAGCGCCTGCAAAACAGTAAGAACTCTGTTACTGTCCATCTGAGGAACAGACCATACCAGACTTGACTTCACAGAAACAAAAGCCTACAATTATTTGAGGCTCACAAAATGTACTATGACCTGGTACATCTGAGGAACAGCTGCTGGATAATCTGTTTAATTTAAAAGTCACATATTCTACAAAACTAGTGGATTAGTGGATGTTATAATGTACACATTTTAAATCACAATAGTCATCTAAAAAGATTTAATTAAAGAAATAGTTTGCTGACTGTCGCTTTAGAAAGATGCAGTGCCCAGTGAGAGCTGACGCTGCCGTAAACATCATCATGACACAGTTGGATTTGTTGGGGCCTGTGTGTAAATAGCTCGTATTGCACATGCCACAGAAAGCCTCCCTCTGCAGACAGACACACAGGCATCTGTGTAGACACCTGTCCCAGGGCCTCTGGGGGGCGCTGTCTAAATAAAATGTAAACGTTCTTGTGTGGCTTTCTTTCTGCCCTGCCTGAAGTGGAGATGTGGATTTACTCATCCTAAAAAAAGCATTGAGAAGTTTGTCTGTTTGTGACCCACGGTGAGTATTTAGTGTTTTATTTCCATTGAAGTCATTGCAAATGAGCATTGACTCCAAATGGGTGTGAGTCTGGAGTAGATATCTCTGCATTCATACATATGAGCCGACACAAAGTCTTTGTCTCATTGACACCTCTGGGATGACTTAATACAATGATACTCACTCAAAAGAAACATGGATACAGTGTTTAACACCAAATATTAGGTTTATTAAAGCTGTGTTCTTGTAAGCCACGCCTACATTGTCCCATGTGACATATCACCACAAACAGATCCTTAACACCAGCACCTCCAATGGATATCTGCACAGCACGTTACCGAGCAGCAGATTTTTTTTGTTTGCACCAAGATGACTACACTACGCTGCTGAATGCGGTGCCTATCAGTGATTGAGCAAATAAAACTGTAGAACGATGTTAATACAGAGGAGCACAGAGGAGCACAGAGCAGTACAGGGCAGTACAGAGCAGTACAGGACAGTACAGGGCAGTACAGGGCAGTACAGGACAGTACAGGGCAGTACAGGACAGTACAGGACAGTACAGGACAGTACAGGGCAGTACAGGACAGTACAGGGCAGTACAGGACAGTACACAGTACAGGACAGTACAGAGCAGTACAGGGCAGTACAGGGCAGTACAGGACAGTACAGGACAGTACAGGACAGGACAGTACAGGACAATAGAGAACAGTACAGAGTAGTACAGGGCAGTACAGGGCAGTACAGGGCAGTACAGAACAGTACAGAACAGTACAGAGTAGTACAGGGCAGTACAGGGCAGTACAGTACAGTACATGGCAGTACAGTGCAGTACATAGTAGTGCAGAGCAGTGGCAGTAAACACAGGACATAATCGGCAATATGGGGTATTGAAAATAAGTGACTAAAGATGACTCAAACATGCACAAATAACTCCAAATACAACTTCCAGAGGGTAAATGAGAAAGGGAACAGCTATAACATGGCTAAAAGGTCTTGACTTTGCATAAGAGGTCTGCTTTAAAGGTCCTTTTCCGATGGAGGGATGATCACCTTTTATCTCCATTGAGATGTTGTTGCTTTGCCAGGAATTTTCATGACCATGTTCATTGTTCATGTTATGTTTAATGCCACTGGTATTTTTAATTCCAAAGTTTTGACATTTCGAAGCAGTTCAAGCGCACATGCACAGGAACACAGAAGGTGCTATTTTATATTAAAAAATGCAAACACACACGGTGTAGCATCCTAATGCATGTGCACATAGAGCACACACATCACATGTGTGAAATAAAATATACTGTATATGTCACTTTTCTGTTGGAGGGACTGACACCCTCATGTCCCATGAAAGATAATGACATACTGTGGAACATTTCAAGTAAAATTACATCTTCATGGAAACACGCAGGGTACAGACGCTCCACCAGAAAAGTCACATTTTGTATCTTTAACTTCACAATTAAAAGTAGCTAATTTTCTATATCAAACTGTAGTTCAGAAGAAGTGAAGATAAAGTGAAGATGAGATATTCAGAAGAAGATGAGTTGACTGTTGTTTGTGTCTTTATTCAGGAAACATTGTTGGAGTTTGTGGAGATAAACTGAAGAGGCATCTGCAGGAGAAGTTTGGTCGTGTGTTTGAGGGCGTGGCTAAAGCCGGAGTCTCTGCCCCCCTGACCCAGATTTACACAGAGCTCTACATCACAGAGGGCGGGACATCAGAAGTCAACCAGGAACATGAGGTCAGACACATGGAGACTGCGTCCAGGAGACCGGCCGCTCCAGAGACCACCATCACATGTGAAGATCTCTTTAAAGCCCGCCCACATTCACCAGAGCCAATCAGATTTGTGCTGACGAAGGGCGTGGCCGGCGTGGGGAAAACAGTGCTGACTCAGAAGTTCAGTCTGGACTGGGCTGAAGGCCGGGCCCACCAGGACCTCCAGCTGCTGTTCCCGTTCACTTTCAGAGAGCTCAATGTGCTTAGGGACAAAGAGTTCAGCCTGGTGGAGCTGCTGCACCACTTCTTCAGTCCATCCAAAGATCTCTGCAGGTTCCAACAGCTCCAGGTGCTCTTCATCTTTGATGGTTTGGATGAGTGCAGACTTTCTCTGGACTTCAGTCGAACTCAGGTCCTAACCGACCCCACAGAGTCTGCCTCAGTGCACGTGCTGCTGGTGAACCTCATCAGGGGGAGCCTGCTTCCCTCCTCTCGTCTCTGGGTAACCACACGACCCGCCGCGGCCAATCAGATCCCTGCTGAGTGCGTCTCCATGGTGACAGAGGTGCGAGGGTTCACCGAACCACAGAAGGAGCAGTACTTCAGGAAGAGGTTCAGAGACCAGGCCACAGCCATCATCTCCCACATAAAGAGCATCCGCAGCCTCCACATCATGAGCCACATCCCGATCTTCTGCTGGATCCTCTCCACAGTTCTACAGAAGCTTCTGGAACAAACAGAGGAGCCAGAGTTGCCCCGGACTCTCACACAGATGTACATCCACTACCTGGTGGTGCAGGCCAAAGTCCAGAACATCAAGTATCACCAGGGAACAGGGGTGGACCTTCACTGGACTCCAGAAACGAAGGAGATGGTGCGGACTCTGGGAAAGCTGGCCTTTGAGCAGCTGCAGAAAGGAAATCTGATCTTCTACGAGAGTGACCTGAGCGAGTGTGGGCTGGACGCTGTAGCGGCCTCAGTGTACTCCGGAATGTTCACACAGGTTTTAAAGAGGAGCCAGGCCTGTACCAGGACAAGGTCTACTGCTTCATCCATCTGAGTGTGCAGGAGTTTCTGGCTGCTCTTCACATCCATCAGACCTTCTTCAGCTCTGGAGAGAACCTGCTGGATCCACCACATGCCTCTGAAAGTCTTGAGTCTGAGGTAGGCTTCTACTGCTCTGCTGTGGACCAGGCCTTACAGAGTCCAAACGGACATCTGGACCTATTCCTGCGCTTCCTCCTGGGGTTGTCTCTGCCGACCAATCAGAGTCTGTTGCAGGGTCTGCTGACTCAGACAGAAAGTAGCTTAAGGATTAATCAGGAGACAATAAAGTACATCAAACAGAAGCTGAATGAAAAGGGTCTGTCTGCAGAGAGAAGCCTGAACCTGCTCTACTGTCTAAATGAGCTGAATGACCACAGTCTGGTGCAAGAGATACAGCGGTACATGAGAGATGATGAGATCTCCAGGTTAAGTTCTCCTGCTCAGTGGTCGGCTTTGTCCTTCCTTTTATTGTCCTCAGACTCAGACCTGCAAGAGTTTGACCTGAGGAAATACTGTCCGACAGAGATGGCTCTCCTGAATCTCCTGCCAGTGGTCAGAGCCTCCACCAAAGCCCTGTGAGTCCAGACTATATTTAAACTCTTGTGTGGTGGTTCTAGTTCCTCTCTGTTAGTGTTATTTAAGAAATATTACAAAAAAAAAGCATTGTAAATAAATAATTAAACAGCATGTGGCGTTATTAAGGGTTTGCGTCTATGTCACAAAACCATGTGACCTGGTGTTTATGCCGCAAAACTGGAGGTCAAGCTATCCATGTGGACCAACGTGTAGTATTTGTGTGTGATAAAATTTGAATTGAATAACAATAGTTTTGACCTGTGTTGCTATTGAAAAAATTATGAAAGTGGATACATGTCAGACACTTTTAGATCCATAAGTAAAACACAATTCTCATTTATTTAAGCAGAAAGTAAGTATGTCTTTATTTATATAGCGCTTTTCACAGACATATGTCACAAAGACGCTTTACAGAGCTTTATTCATTCACTCCACACCCGGTGTTGGTAAGGTACTATTGTAGCCACAGTTGCCCTGGGGCAACTGTTATAATTCACTGCTGTACTGTCAGCCGAGTAGACCGAGACATTAAAGATGCTGAGTCAGTGCTCCTATAATTTGTTTAGTAAGGTGTCAATGACAGCATCTGCACTCTCGGCTGCCTGTTCAAAGAAATCAAGAACTGGTCTGGGTGCCCTGCTCAAGAGTATTATACCAGCCATGTTGAATGAATGAAAATGAGCTTATCATCAGTGCATATTCACGCTTAATTGTAGAACATCAAAAAATAAATCTAATAGATAGATTGTAGGTGGGGCTGCAGCCTATCAGCAGCAGTTAGGGCTCCATGCAGTCGACTCAACCTCTCTACGAACAGTTTTTAATGTTTAACAGGAAAAAAAAAAAAATACTCAGTATTCTGTTTGAGTGTAATTTTCGGAACATTTAGGGACAGATTTAGGACAACATCTTAGATTTTGGGACTGTCGTGAAATTTTCAGGATGTCTGGTCACCCTATGCACTGGAATCAACCAAAATGCACTTCATCGCTTGCAGTTAGTCCAGAACTCTGCTACACCTCTTTTAATGGGGAGCTAAAAGCATAATCACATTACCTCAGTTCATGTGTTGCTGTACTGGATGAATTGATTTTAAGATTTTATTGTGTGTTTTTAAAGCTTTGAATGGACTGGCCCCACAATACAGATTTACACCCCTACACATGCTCTAAAGTCTGAGGACCAGCTCCAGCACCAGTTAAATGTTTTACATTACAATGCAAAGCACTTTGGAAACTGTCTTGTTTATTAAATGTGCTATACAGATAAAATTGGATTGACATTGGATAACAGTTAAAGACTAAGAGACGTTAAATGTTTATTTAGTAACATTAACATTAAGTGACACAAAATGATTAAATAAAATCACAAAGAATAATACTAATAAACAGTAGTAGTATAGTAATAATAAACATGTTTAAATACATTTTAATAGTTGTATCTCTGGAGCTGTAGAGGAGGCGAGTAATGGAAATGACCCAACCTGTTGACTCAGCATGTGGGTTAAGCAAAATGACCCAACTCTGTGAAAAAAAAAAAAAGAAAGAAACTAAAAAGAAAGAACCAACAGCTCTAACACAAACATTGGATAGAAACAGAACCCAGCACTTCTGAGGAAGTACAAATACATTAATCACTGACTACAATATCTTCTACCTTCTGTGTCTCCTCAGTCTTTGTGGCTGTGGCCTGTCCCCTCACAGCTGTGCTCCTCTGGCCTCAGTCCTCAGCTCCTCCAGTCTCACACACCTGGATCTCAGTTACAACGACCTCCAGGACTCAGGAGTGAAGCTGTTTTGTTCTGGACTGGAGAGCGCCCCCTGCAGACTGGAGACGCTTAGGTGAGGTTATCACTCAAACAGGTACAGAGCGATGTATGCAAGCATAATGTATTTTGTATGTTCCTCTGAGAGGATTCTTCTCACCTTAGCTGTCAATGATGTAGGTGCTCCTCTGTCTCTCTGTACACTACACTAAAAAATGCTGGATTAAAAATAACCAAACCTGTGTAAAATAAAAAAAAACAACATGCTGGCTATTGGATCAACAAAAATCTGGGTTATTTTAACCCAGTATTTTGGGTTATTATTTTACTTACCCCATGTTTTTGGGTTATTTTTTGAGTCTGAGTCAAGAGCTCAGGACTGTGTTAAAGGGAAGAACAGAGGGAGGTCACATATAGAGCTCTAATGTTTTCCTCTGTGACAAACAGAACTTGAGAAATATAAAATCAATCCCAAGAAAAAACAATGAAAGTGGATACATGCAAGACACATTCAGATCCACACAATGCACATTTACTTAAGCAGAAAGTTACTAATGCTTAGCAGCAGAAGTCAAACATTTAATTAGCAACATTAACATGAACTGACACAAAGTGATAAAATAATTGAGATAAAATCACAAAGATAGAGCAATAAACATGTTTTAAAAACTTTTAACAGTTGTATCTCTGGAGCTGTAGAGGAGGCGAGTAATGGAAATGACCCAACCTGTTGACTCAGCATGTGGGTTAAGCAAAACTCACCTGGGAGTTAAGCACTTTCTGTGTCTCCTCAGTCTTTGTGGCTGTGGTCTGTCCCCTCACAGCTGTGCTCCTCTGGCCTCAGTCCTCAGCTCCTCCAGTCTCACACATCTGGATCTCAGTAACAACGACCTCCAGGACTCAGGAGTGGAGCTGCTGTGTTCTGAACTGGAGAGCGCCCCCTGCAGACTGGAGACGCTCAGGTGAGACGCTCCCATGATGCACTCTGCCCCCTTGTGGCCACATGAGTGTAATACTGTGTCTGTGTGCAGCCTGTCTGGATGTCTGGTCACAGAGAGGGGCGGGGCTGCTCTGGCCTCAGCTCTGAGATCCACCTCCTCCCAGCTCAGAGAGTTAGACTTGAGCTACAACCATCCAGGACCCTCCGCCGAGCTCCTCACCGCTCTACGGGATGACCCACACTACCCCCTGCTGTCTGTCAGGTGAGGGTCCTTGTTCAGTGGATCTCTGGTCCATGGTTGGTCCAGATCCTGGTCTCTGGTCTGGTCTAAACTGGACTTGTGTGTTTCAGGTTGGATCCTGCTGGAGAGCGCTGGATGGTCCCAGGTCTGAAGAAGTGTGAGTCTCTGTATTTCATTCAGTTCATGTAACATTAACATGTAACTTTATCAGACTTTAAATCTTCAGTTATAGAAGAAACATTAGTGTGATTTGAGATTTAAAAAAAAAAAACTTAGCCTTGAGACATGATTGTTATTGTTCAGGATTATTGGATTATTACATCTTAAAATAGAACGAGTTTTCATATTCACAGGAACAGGAAGTGATGTCATGTGTTTGTGTTCTCAGATTTCTGTGTGTTTTCTCTGGATCCAAACACAGCTCACAGAAACCTCAAACTGTCTGAGGACAAACGGACTGTGACCCATGTGAGAGAGGAGCAGCAGTATCCAGATCATGAGGACAGATTTGCAGGCTGGTATCAGGTCCTGAGCGGCACTGGCCTGAGGGGGCGCTGTTATTGGGAAATGCAGTGGAGGGGGTGGGGCATTGAAATAGCAGTGAGTCACAGAGGAATCAGACGGAGAGGACCAAGAGAGGAGTGTGTGTTTGGACGCAATGATCAGTCCTGGAGTCTGAGGGTTGATGGTGAAGATTACAGTTTCAATCACAACGACAGACAAATAGAGCTATCCTCCTCCATCCGTTCCTTAGGTCGAGTGTCTGTGTTCCTGGACTCTGAGGCTGGATCTCTGTCCTTCTATGAAGTCCGCTTTGGTGGAGAATTGTTCCCCCTCCACACCTCCAGCTTCTCCTTCACTGAGCCTCTGTTTCCTGGGTTTGGACTGTGGTATGCAGATTCCTCTGTGTCTGTTGTGGACAAAATTACATATGTCTAGAAGAGAAATAATTAATCCATTTGCAAAGTCCGATGAGTTTTTGGAATATAGACCAAGATTTATTCTTGTTACAGCAGATATGGACGGGGCCTAGGCCTTCCCTGGCAAGAGCCCAACAGCCTCTCTCCACCAGCAGCATGTCCCTACCACATCTTGCCCTATCTTCCAAGTATCTCCCCCAGTCTCTGCCCCAGAGTATTTAAGATCTGAGTATTTATACAGAAATATAAGGTACATACATATCAAAGCAGAGTGGCTTTTGTTTCAGAGGCTTGTGCTAAATTAACATACAGTTGAGGAGAGGTAAGACAACAAAAGGCTTCCTGAAGGAGACAGTTGTGTCTGATGAACCTTTACACATGTTAACGACTGATCTGGTCTCAGGTAGAAATCACATTTATTTACATAAAGAGAGATTGAGCGAAATCTTTCCATAATATAAATTTCTATCACAGTGTCTGTGGTGGATCTGTGATGGATCTGGCGAGAGTGCCCACTGGTGGACATATGTGACTCTTTTATGATAGAATGATTCTTTCCATCAATGTGACCTAAATCAGTAAAAATGTCAATAAAAAATAAACACTTTAAAAATGACACAACAATTAAAAAAATGCTGAAATATACAAAAAATGTAAAAGATAAAAAGGAAATAGTTATAAAATGGGGAAAACAATCAACAGAAATTAGAAATAAATTTAATTAAAATACTAAATTAAAACTAAATATCTATAAAATAATAAAAAATATTTATTTTAAAACACGATACAAACTAAGAAAACAAGAAATATGGAAATCTTGCAACAGTAATGAATAAAAAATAGCAGAAGGTTCATTAAAACAGGAGGCTATAAAGCACTTTGGGTGTCTTGAAAGGTGCTATATAAATGAAATGATTAATTATTTCATTAATAATACTGAGAAAAAAAAAACTGTCTGAAATTAGAAATGTAGTTTAATCTCTCATTTCTATTAGTGACATGGTCTATTCTCCCGCTATATTTCTCCACACGACAACATCTGGGACGGCATCTGACACACCACAACAGATCCAAGGGCCACATGACTCCAGGTGGAACAGGTCCTTCAGGTTTAGAAATGACGCTGATGCTGTACGTGTGTCCGATAAATGAAATACATCCAGGGCATCTGTGGTCTTCTGTCTTTGATGGTGAAAATAAAAACTTGGCTGATGTTAGACTAGATTCAAATTCTGCCCATACTTTGTCTTATTTTTATAGCACTGAAATATGAAATATAGACGGTCAAATAAATCAACATCTACAAGTAACATGGAACTAAACACAAAATCCACTTTTTTTTTGCTACTAAACTGTATGTAGTGTTTTAACAACATTATCTATTGTATTAGTTGTTTATAGATCATTTAAGTGAAAGATACATTTGCAGTTTTGTGGTTGAACATGTATAAAAATGGATGTGTCCTTGCTTCAGTGGTTTAACAGTTTAGCAGCTCTATTTGAGTGTCATTCATTCATTCATTCATTCATTCATTTCATTAATTTATTTGTTTGAGTCAGGTACAGCAAAATTCAAAAACAATAACCAAAATAGTGATATGTACATGAACATATTTGGGACCTGGTGCTCAAAAGGAGTAGGATGAAGTTTTAAAAACTTATGGAGTCATACCCCAATTGTTTTACATAATCAAGTGGTTCTTTTTTTTTTTTTTTTTTTTAAATCACCTTTGGAGTGCTTACCTGTCATTTGCAAAAATATACCCACATATATGCAAAAACATATCCACACATACATACATATACATGTACATACATATGTACATACATACATACATACATACATCATAGATATTCAGTACATATACTCAATATAAATGTTTATGCACATATGCATAACACACATATACATACATGCAGAAACTAATTTTCATTTATGGTCGTACAAACTAATAATAATGTTTTCGTAGGCACAAAGTTTATCACATATGATCGTACAAAATAAACAGTAATGAGAATGAAAAATTTAAGGATTTTCTTGTTTTCGTTTCTGATCGTACAAACTAATAATAGTAATGAAGAAGGCACAAAAGTTTATCGTGTATGCTTGTACCAAAATAAACAGTAATGAGTATTAAAAAAATTTGGGATTTTTTGTTTTCATTTAGGTGTTTAGTTCCACTTAGAAAAAGAAAACATTAGTTCAGTTCATTCTACTAACACCAAATGATGCCAGCAGTCCATGTGTGAGTGTTGTGAGCAGGATTCCTCCCCGTCACAGAACACTGGACCAGCTCTACACTAATAATAATACTCCCTACAACTGTACAACAACTCACTCTTATGTAACAGATAATAATCTAAATAAATACATTAATAAATAATACATTAATAAGTACATAAAATAAATAAATATAGGAAAAAGAGGGAAATACTTAATTTTATATTTATTTGGTTAATTACATGCGAATTACTATTATAAATGTATAATTTTGAAGCCCAACTTTGTGCACTAATAAATGGACACTGGTTTATGTTTTATAGGCATCTAAATCCTATTCACATGGGAGTATTAACGGTGGACCTTTGGTGATTTGTAATAATTGCAAAGGATGCCTGAGATCTTAATCTCATGCGAATACGCCATGTCTGTAATTTGTTTAATTTGTCTGTAATTCCTCTACAAATTAACTACTATATTTGCCCAGCACCCATGTCCAGTGGTAATACGAATTATCGAAGCTGCAAATCTGCATCTCAGTGTTTGTTGCCTTTTCTATATTTCTTTTCTCTTTCAATCTCTGTGTCAGTGTCAGTAAAATAAAGTAATTTATGGACTTCACTATCCCATGCGAATGCACTGAAAGTAACACATAGGTGGTGGTTATTTGCAAATTACCAGATGACCCCAGATTGTATTTATCCCTTGTGAATAGGGATTAACTGTACCCAAAGGCTCGCCCTATTTCTTACAATAGTCCATTTTTTTATTTTTTATTTTTGGCACTTTTGTAAAGGAGATCACTGGAGGAAAAAGGTTGGCGACCCCTGTACTAAATACTGTATATTGTTAATAAACCAGGGCTAAAGACATGTCCTGCTGATTGGTCAACTAAAAAGGAGCATGGCAAACACTCCAAACTCTTCTATATCTCTGTATATCTGCACTCACAAGACTACACCCGCAGAGGGAGCTTGTGCAAAAACTACTATTTATGCAGATTCAACGTGGGAATCATGAGTTTAATCTGACCATTTAATGAGAAATACAAGAAAATATAAAATCTTCAGCTCACTCACTCACTTTTTGCTGCTGTTCTAGAGAAATCCTGGTTAGTTAAATCAAATTAGTAGTCATCTAATACACATTTTCACCTCCATAGCGAAAGCCACACAAATGAATTGGTCATATGCATTTTTGTACATTACAGTTATATATGAGCAGCACAACAGTACAAACATATTAAAACATATTGTACTCAGTCTTGTCGTTTTAGTTTCCCTCTCTTTGTCTCCCAGACTCTCACAAAACAATGATTGGCAAATTGGCCTCTGGGGAATGCTGCAGCCCGTCAAGGTAGACCTGCAGACACAAAACATCACAACACAAAGCTTAGTCCAATAAATGTCATGTTATATTGACTAATTAAAAGATATCAACATTTTTTTCATAATGTTGTCATACTAGTCAAAATATTCATAAAGCACATACTTTGAGTCTGTACTCTTGCTTGATGATGTTGCAGCTGAGGATAGTTGACTTGACTTCCTCAGGTATTTGTAGTACTTTAGTTTGAGTCACTTGTTGTCCAGGCTGCACAGGATTGCCCTTCTCCTCAACAATGCTTTTAGTGACAATTTTCTTCTTGTCTTTGGAAAAGACAGACTGCTCCCCGTAGAAGACATATCTGGGAGTCACCTTTGTGTCTTTTGACTTGTTGGTTATTCGAGTTGTGATTTCTAGGTCTTCACCTGCAAAACATTCATATGTTGTAATGAATAAATGTAAATTATTTTGTTGAAACTTTTGAACAATTAAAAGAAGATTCATTTTTTTACCTGGCAGATAACCTGTCTTTTCAGTAGTAACTCCCAATTCAAATTTCCTAGATGAAGATTTTGTTTTACTCTCACCTTGCACTTGTTGAGGTTTCTGTAAAAGACAATACCAAATAGAAAGTCATAGATTGTGATTAAAAGTATATAGACCTTTTGTATTAGTTATACACATTATATGTTATAGTAGCTACAATAGTGCTTAAAATCCAGTAATTTAGCCATTTTGGTGTACTTTCTCAACTTTCATAGTGTAAAATACTTGAAGAGATTCAAGTATAAAGACATTAGTGATAAATTACCATTATATCAGGGTTGGAATAGTTGTCATTAGATGCTATTGTGAAGAATATTCTTTCTTTGCAGTCCAGCCTCATAAATCTGCTCACTCTGGCTTCCAGTGTATAATCGATGGATCCATGGAAACCCTCCCACCGTTGAGGCAAGTCACTACAGAAGATGATCAGCCATCAGACACAGTGCACAGAAACAATGGTGTTATGATTCATAAACTAGTATGTACATGTCAGGGATCTCAAGAGCAAAGGGGAAAACATGCCTCCCTGCAGAAAGAACCTTCGACCCTGTGAACAGACAAATACATTAGGGTTATTATTTTAAATATAAGGATTTATATTGACCGCAGCAGAATGGAGAAGGCATAAATTGTTTGAAGTTTGTAACAGGATGATTTAAATCTGCCTTTTCACTCACAAAGACGCTGTGAATGAAAATGACAATATAGTACTGTGGTGTGACAGAAAGAAAAGTTAAAAATATTGAACTGTATTGTTGTGAGCTTTCAGTGAAGTAGAACATATGTTTTAGTCCTCCTCATCAGCTGTTAGTGCCTTTTTACTTCCTATACCCTGCATTAGATTAGATGGTAAAGCATAATATTCCAAATTCAACACTTAAAATATATACAGCTTAAGATTTTACACAAGAATACATTCAAAGGACAATGCAGTTTACCAGGTCTTGATGGCTCCAAGAGAATTTTGGTTGTTAAAAAAAGATGTTCCTTCGCTGTGTATGTTCTGAAAGAATAGGATAGAACAGAGCTTTCAATCCAATACCCAAATGCCTCCCCTTTGGCTGTCACTGAAAAACACTTGATTGTAGTGTCTTTGTCCAACTCCAGAACCACTCTTCCTGTGATAGTCTCTCCTCTGGAAAACCCGCTCGTCTCTCTTGAAGGGTCATATTCAACTGTGAGAGTTTTGATGGTCATTTTGTGCTGAAGTTGTCTTGGACTGAAGCTGTAGAGTGACTGTAGTCTATATATACCAGTGCGATGGCTGTCACGAGTGCTTTTACAACATACTGCTCTACTGCATTACCGGAAATTATGATGATGGAGTAATAAAAGTGTTACGTCACATGACATCAGCCCTTAATAAGTAATTTTACAGAGTGGCTAAAGGTAAACCTTGATAGATAATACAGTTACAGATAGGGTGAATAAGCGTCCGTTTTTCCCCGCACATGTCCGTATTTGCGTCCTGTCTGGGGCGTCTGGGTTTTTTTTATAAAGTGATGCAAATGTCCGGATTTTCAGTACCGTTCATTGGGGGCATTAAACTGAGCGTCTCTCGTAGAGTCTGTGACTCAGAAGGAGCGAGACACAAACAGTTGGTCAGTCTGCAACATACCGAAGCACAAAAGCACATTTAAAACCCTCACGCTCTCCTAGTGGGTCAAACAGACCCAAAATTGTGTTTTTTCCTTTATTTAACCCTCCCGCTCTCCTAGTGGGTCAAACAGACCCCAAATTGTGTTTTTTCCTTTATTTAACCCTCCCGCTCTCCTAGTGGGTCAAACAGACCCAAAATTGTGTTTTTTCCTTTATTTAAAGTAGATCATCAATCAATATTTTGGTCTAAAAAGATTTACTGATATTAGCAGTCTCATTTTCTACACAGACATTTTAACAGAGATTAATTCAGAGATGAGGGTTCAACCACAGCATCTTCACCTACAAGACAAACAAGAAGGAAAAAGTGAAAACATGTTATTCTTATTGGGCAATTTTGACAACATGATTCATTTTACTGGTTTCAGGCACAATTTTCAGGCAGTAGAATATCTGACACTTTTTACTTTTTTATGTTGTCATTTTTTCTCATGACAGAATAAAATTCTGTATAGTACTTGTACAGAATTAATTGGTTCCTTCTTTCACACATTAGAAAAAAAGGAAACTGGGGATAAAAATGTTATATTGATATGATATTATTTTTGCGGTGAATATTTTTTACTTAGGCCTACCGTGTTTCTCTGTGGTGTCTGTGCCGAGTCCAAACCGCCTCCTTAAAGAGTCCAAGGTCTCTGTAGGGACCTGGCTCTGGATGGACTCCAGATAGGTTAACACGTAGCGGTCAGCATCGGTCAGCACAAAGCGATGGCCGAACACTGGAAAACAAAAATCAAATATGGTCGATTCTATTTTCTATGCAAAAATCAATAATTTTTCATATAAAATAACAAGGCATTCTGCCACACAACTCTATGGAGTTTTAAGATGTCAGTGCTCAGATGTATAATCCAGTTTACCCTCCACTGTGGCGCCGATAGCGAAGTCTGTCGGGGAGTAGAATTGTGGGCTCTCGGTGGATGAGTCAGGTTTGGGGATGCGCATCTTTTCCAGGAACTTCCCTCCGATGAACCCACTGTTCCGGGAGGACTTTTCATAGATGCTGATCATGTCGTTGGCCAGGTAGTAGGACAGGACAAATGTGCGGTCTTCATCTGCTTCAATCGGGGATTCCTAAATTCATTCAAACAGCATTGTTAAAAACTACCTTATGTTTATTGCTGATTATTATTTGATTATATTAGTTAGTGCAGTAACTTCGTAAAATATGATATACATTTTGAAGTGTAATGTAATGCAATTAATGTAACTGGAGGGACAAAACATTGCACAAAATCTGGTACAAAAATTGGAAAACAATGTGGTGAAAAAAAATGTTCAAATAATTTCGAATTGTCAAGATAAAACTGTTGGGCAAATAACTTGCACACAATAGAAAGAGTGGCTATCATTTTTACTCAAGTTAAAAATACTTCTCCACTGTAAAATATATTTTTTGAAGCTGGAGTCTAAATATTATTCAGATAAGTACAATGGCCCAGTCTGTCTCACCAGTTTGGCTCGGTAACGCAGTATTTTGTTGTGATTCTCCAGTTGTTTAATCACGTTCTTTTTGGGAGGCGTTGGGACCAGGCTCAGGCAATTCTGCAAAGAGTCCTCCAGGGTTCCAAAGCCGTTGTATGGTGGCACCTGCAGCTGTAACATGTGCACAATACAGTACAGCACAGTCAGGGAAAACGGCAGTGTTTTAAACTATTAATACTTTTACAGTGAAGATGGTGTGAAAACTCAAAACATGATTAATACGTGTGTGTGATTAAAAACTGCTGGCTAACTGTAGCTTTAATGTTCTTTGATTCGTTTAACAGTGCAAATCAACTCAGCAGCAGTAGCAATAGAAGTAGTTGTTGTTCACTTGTGGAAGAAATAAAAGTCATAAATAAATTTTTTCAATGTCTCATCTTATCTAATTATCATAACTGTTTCCTTCCTCATTTGAGTCACAATGCACGCTCAGTCAGTTTGGTCTGAACCTGCCACTGAGGAGCTCCATGGTTTGAGAACCACTCCTCTATCTCTGTCCTCATATTTGAAGTAAACATTTTGGATATCTATTCTATTAATAATAATTGTAATTTTGATGAATCCACAATTACAACATTCATGTAAATTGTTATTTTTGTTTTGTTTGTATTGGTTTTTTACTTTTACTCTGATCCACAATTACTATTATAATAACACCTCTAAGAAAAGCCTTAACTTGCAGTGTTGTTGTAGTTGTGTACCTTCTTCTTGTCTGCTGGCTGTGGTTCCTGGCGGGTGGGTTCCACTGGCCTAAGCTCCATGTCAGGATAGTGCCTCTGATAGTACTGTTTTGTGAAGTCATCACAGTCACACAAGAGGAAGTGTCTCCCTAGCATGCTTATCTTCTGACCCAGCTGGAAGTCCTGTGGAGAGTAGTATTCTTCTACCTCATCTTTGGACACCTCCAGGACACAGGTGGGGAAGTTACCTGCACAGAGGACAAAGATATTCATTAGGGCTGCATATTCAATAACTATGTCCAAGATTGCAAAAAGTCTAAACACAGAAAGAACTGATAATATTCACTTTCCTGATATCTGTGCCATTTTAGGACTTTTGACCAATCAAAAGAATATTCTGAATAGCTAATTACACCTAAGAATAATATAACAAGCTTGTGAAGCCATATCCTTCAGAAACAATTCTTAATCATGAGAATGTTCTATCTAGGACGTAAGAGCACATTACTTATGTGTGCTTTGCTCTTCTTGGGCAACCGCTGTCTCCTCATGAGGATGGGAAAAGGGTCTCGTCCGCTGTTGGGCTCATGCACCTCTCTGACCTCCACAGTGTCATCCACCAGGTAGTAGTGAATGGTGACCGGGCGCGTGTCTCCAAACAGAGACTCAGAGTCGTCCCACAGCCCAGAGAAACGCAGCACCTGCCAGGAGAGAGAGGGGAGCTTTTGCTACATGTCGAGTAGGAGACTATGTAGTGGCAGGGTGGGGAAGTGTGTGTTCAAAGTATTCCTGTTGACAATTAATATTTTTTATTTTATGTACCTGTTCTGCTGTTATTGCATTGTTTGATATATATGATTATTTCATAATGTAGTCACATTGTCATTATATGTTGCAGCTTAAGTAAAAGTTATTCCCCTGGCCTGTGCACCCTTCTCCTGGGCTCCTGGGTGTATCCGTTACCTTGCGGTCCATGGTGAGGAACTGGCTTGACCCGGTCATATTCGGAGGGAGTGGTGAAGCTGGGCACGGGTTTGGTGCGGTCTGTGATATATGGGTCTGAGGGCATGGGCTCCGGCACATTTAGAATGATGCCTTCACTGGCCAGGAACTCCTGTCGAGGAAAATGTCCAGCAATGTCTTCAGGTTAAGTTAATTTGACTGCAGTCTAAAAATATAATTTATTTGCAGGGTTTTGCCACAGAAAGCATCAAAATGAGGTAGCTTTAAAAACCTGAATACATTGTAATATGGGACGTATATGCTGTTGCGTCACTCAACCTTATAATGATAAATTATAAATAATTTCTTCTTTCATATGTATACACTGTACCTTAGTAAAAGCGTCACAGTCCACGATGTGGTATTTGAATCCATACACTTCCATGTCCATAGCTACATTCAGATCAGTCCAGGTGTAATACTCTCCAAACTCATTCTTGGGCAGGCGCTGGCGCTTGATGCGTTTACCCTGTGGTATCCCTGAATTCTCCACTGTCGGCTCGATGACGCACATGGTGTCATCCTCCAGGAAGTAGTAAATGACCACAGAGCGAACCCGGTAGTGCTCCTCTGGGGAGTACAAGACGTCCTCCGTGAAGTACGCATAGAAACGCAGCACCTGGAAGAAGAATAAGGAGAGGATTTACAGTGTAGGAAAAACAATTATTAACAATTGACCAGCCCTAGTACTGTAGGTGTCCTGTACCTTCTTGTCCAGTACCACATGGGCAGGGATAAAGTCCTCGCACTGGCTGATGTCATAGGCATCATAGGAGGCCTCATGTTCTTGTAGGGGCAGCTGGTTGAGCTCCTGTAGTCTGAGCTGAGCAGACAGGAGGGGGCTCTGTCCAATGCCTATGGTGGGCCGGCGGGGCAGAGCATAGCCATTCTTATATCCCAGTGTCTGTGGCCGGTGGAAAGCTGTCTTCTGTGTTAAGAGACAAACAATGGATGACAAAGCAGCAAAAATGGTAAATATTCTGGTCACACAATATAATTAAAAAAAAGTTCACCTAAAAGCTTATCTAAACTCCAGCTAACATCAAGGTTAAATAACTAGTGTTAACAAATGCAGATGAAGGAATGCACACAAAATACACTTTGCTGAAATTCTCGCTGGTTTCGTATATTAAACGATTTTTAAGCAAATCCACGCCATGCTCTAGAAATTTCTAAATAAATTACTAACGCTAAACTTTTTTCTTCTTATGTAACGTTAGCTAGTTTTAACATGTTTTACCGTTACATCCTGAAAGCTGTATCCAGGCAGAAAAGGCAAACCATGGCTATTCCAGTTCCACGACATTTCTTCTTTTTCATATATGTGTTATATGTATCAGTTGCAGCTGTCAGTAGTGTGTTGTGTTGCGC